AATGCACATCCTAAAGGTACAAAAATGCACATCCTGAAGGTCCCAATATAATGTACATCCTAAAGCTCCCTATATAATGCACATCCTAAAGGTACCAGTATAATGCACATCCTAAAGAATCCAAATATAATACACATGCTAAAGATCCCAATATAATGCATATCCTGAAAGCTGCAATATAGTGCACATCCTGAAGGTCCCAGTATAATGCACATCCTGAAAGTTCCAATATAATGCACATCCTAAAGGTTCCAATATAATGCACATCCTAAAGGTTCCAATATAATGCACATCCTAAAGGTACCAGGGTAAAACACCCCTTGAAGGTCCCAGCACACTGGTACCAGTTTGGGGCCCTGCAGGTGAAAGAGCTGTTCCCCCACGCTGGGATGTGCCCAGTCCTGGTGAGTTTTGGGGTATCAGGGGCAAGCAGGGTGGGTTGGGCAGGGGCAGGGCAGGAGCTGGGAATGAAGATTCCATCCTGGTGGCTCTCTCTGCTGCTTTCTGGGTGTCTGTGGGCTCGGGGTCCTGTCCTTGCTGTCACCCAGCACCCACAGGGGCTCTCCTGAGAGGGGAGAGGCTGCTGAGCTGTGCTGGATCACATCTCTCGAGAACTGCCAGGCTGGGGTTAGAGGGCATCCTCAAGGGAGTGTCCAAAACCAACACGATTATCTTGATTATTAATATTTGCATTGGCAGGACTGCTGTGGGTTTGTGTGGAGAAGCACAGTCCTTCCCTGCTCGGTGCTGCACGGCTGCTGAGCCCATGGAGCAGCAGCTGCTCCAGCTCCAGAGTGGACAATCCCATTTTTTGGGTGTTTTCCTAAATGTCAGGGGGGTTTGTGATGCAATCTGTGTTAGTGGCACCTCCTCTGGGGCAAATCCTGACACTGGGCCCAGGGTGTGATGCACTGAGCCTGGTGTGGATCTCCTGGATCTTCAAAGGACAGGTAGGACCTGTATTTTAGATGGGTTGAGGAAATTTGGGCATATTTTTCCAGCATTTCTAAATATCACAGGCACCTTAATTCTCTATATTTTCCCTCTAAAATCAGTCAGTTTTTGCTGAAATTTAGTCCAGTGTCACCTTTTAAGAAGCATCCCCAACCTTTCCAAAACAACTCCTGGCATTCCAGGGGGTTAAATAATTCACTCCTTGAATTTTTCAGCTCTTAATTAGACAAGAGATTATTTGGACCAACCAGAAAACAATGATTTGGGCAGAATTCACTCTCTGGGTATGCTCTGCCTTATTTTTCCTAAAGAGATCCTTTTGTTTTGATTTTTGGAGCATGAGCAGGTCAAGTGTCACCCCTGGCTC